TTTTGATTTGCTGAACAAAAACTGTCACTGTTCTTGTACTAATTGCTGTGTTGTCTTTCCGTCTCCTGTTATAATTGGATAAATCCAGTAAATATCTTATGCAATGGTGACTTCAGACTTTAAATAAAATAATCTGATGTCAGCAGCACATGGACTTGGGATGTGTTTAAAACTTAACTGTATAATTGGGGTTCTAGGCGCATTGCATAATCTGTTAGTTATTTGGCAACTTTAACCTCAAAATATTTAGCCTATAACATTTCTTGCATCAACAAATTTATAGGCAATATAGGTAATAGTTATTAAGAACACATTTGTACGATTAACTTTTTTATCGTTTGTTCTGAAATAACATTTAAAAAAATATATGCATGAGCGCGTGTGAATTGTGGAAAACATGATATCAAAAACAGGGGTCACGCACAATCAAAAACAGGGTAACCCCCGTACTGATCCACCGACTCCCCCCCCCAAGGCCGAAGTAACTGACCAATCCCTAAATCGCAGTTGTCCTGAATGAAATTCAGAGCGTACCTCATGATATTATTATTATTATGAAACATACACATGCTATTTTTATTCATTATAGGGTAAATTAACAAGTTGGCTTATTTACACGACAAGTGTCATTACTATGACTGGCTCGTTTCAATTTGGTTGGAATACTGGTGTAATGACCGCGCCCTCTCTGGTAAGTATGACGTGAAACTTTTTTATTTGTATTGGTAATGTAGACAGTCATGCCGATAGATAAATATTTTTTTTTAAAGTTATTTAAGTGAGATTGTGGCAGTGATTCTGTAGCTTGCTAAGAAGTGAAATTTAATCACGGATGTCATTGTTAAATGGATATACATTTGCTTTACTCTCTGGACGCTATCAAATAGATACATTATTTTTACCAGTGAGATTACTAGCGAGATGCTAGGTACTAGGAAGAATTATTCGATCCCAACCCCAGCGAGTGTTTAAAAAAGTACATAAACACATTTTCTTGTAGTATATTGAAGACTTCTACAATCAGTCATACACAGACCGGTACGGAGAGATTTCTGAGGACGGCCTTATGTGGCTATGGGCTTGGACGATTTCACTTTATGCCGTTGGTGGCGCCTTTGGTGCGCTTGCCGTGCCTCCCTTTGCTGACATCCTTGGCAGGTTGGTGGTTCACCGCAAACAAACCATAAGTATTTAACAAAAAATAAAAAATAAAAAGTGTTGTTTTGAAAACAAATTAAATCAAAATGTTTATTGCAAGTTGGGTTCTTGTATTGAGGCAATATATGTTTTTTTTTATCAATCGTGTCTGGTTACAGGATTCGTGAATAAAATTATAAGTATGACTATCTAAAATCGATGGAACCTAAAAAGCTTTGTTTAGACCACAAGAATTGTTTAACAAGAAATTTCGAGCAAATACATGGTTGTCGTTTATAGTTATATATTTTTAGTGAAATCAGTTTGTGTTTCTAAAAAATAAAACAATACGTTATTTTGCATATTATCTATAAAAGATATTGAAGAAATACCTACAAATCGATTTCTTAGAGGGACGAAATTATACTGACTATTTGCTCGCCACAAATATAAGTAAATCGATGTTAAATCCCTCGAAAAATATAATTATCAGATCAGGCATATTATGCGTCGATGGCGCAAGAACCCACCGAAAGTCTCGTTCATTGGGTCAATTCTGACCAGCGGATTTATTGGTTCCTTATGGCTAACAACCCTAAATGAACCCATTTCTGTCAAGAAGCGTTCAGTAAAATGAATTCCCTAAGACGTGTCGCTGAAAGGAAAAAACCGTTAAAGATAATCTTGCTGTAATATATTTCACATATAGTGAATATATTCTTGATTGGAAAACAGTTTTTAAAACCGTCACCAATGTGCAATCATCGGTCGACTTGTCACATTGCTATGAAAACCCAGTTGTACATATTATTTATCTATCACTTTCTTTAGCGCTACCACCAGTCCAGAATCAGGACAAACGTATGTTCTTTATACACGCATATTCTTGAATAGTGACATCACGTACAAACGATGCGTTCGAACGATATTGTAAGATCATTTAGAGTCAACAACTTGCGTGTTTAGCGTAGATATTGTAAACATATATTTCGTTGTCAATATCTTCAGCCAAGAGAATCCTCACTTCCTATGCTCTCATTCTTATAACGTAACTGCGAAATAGATTGACTCATTAAAAACATAAACATTGTTAAATAACACAAACAAATAGTAAACTGATTCGCGCTTGTCATAAAATGGGCAAAGAATGAAAACATATCACTGACGGCTCATAAAAAGTTATAAACATTTAAATAGTTAAAGCCAATCAAAGAATGGCATGTACATTGCCAAATATTACAAACACGCCATAAACAATTCACAATAATATAATTGCCATAAAAATATAAAAATGACATACACACTGCCAAATATTACAAAAATACATATAAAATAGAACGATGACACAATCACAATAAACATGAAATATAATATAATACAAACGTATCATATATTTTGCACAGACAGACCCAAATATGGCAATGACAACATTATGAATACAGAAACATTTCCAAAAATGCAGACACGTAAAGATCATTTTATAAATGTGTCATGAATTTTTTTTCAAAAAGGCGCACAGCCGGATAACGCAAATAAATTGTTCTGACACTATGCTCTTCAAGCGGGAGGGGTCGTCACCTGCGCACGCGCAGGAATTGAGTCCCAAGCGACGATAACAACGCACACTAAAAATGCAAAGGCGTAGAATGGGTAGACGCTTGTTTGTAAACAATGATATGCCATGGCCATCTGACGCATGCACAGGTGACGATTCCCCATTTTAAAGCGGAAGGGTCGTCACCTGCGCACGTTAACGCACGCTAAAACGAAAAGACCCATACGCTCGTGTGTAAACAACTTATTGGCACGTGTTTAGTCATCTGCCTATTCGCGATGACGGCTTCCCGCTTTAAGATATCCAGAACCTATAATTACCCGTAGGATGGGTAATTGATGGCCCGCTGTGATCATGAAATATTGTCATCGTGTAGATTGTATCGAAGTTTATAGATTGACTATTTTATTTCTATTTCAGAAAAGGAGGACTTTTATTACTTAACGTATTTTCATTATCTGCCGCGTTGATGTTTGGTTCTTCATACAATTCCCATAACTTTGAATTGGTTATCATGGGACGAATCGTCATCGGATTCTACTGCGGTAAGAAATAGTTGATGTCCTAAACTGTATAATCACTCATGTCACGTGACTGCTAAATGTTTTCTGCATGAACACCTGGGACGTTCAAGTTTTTTTGTTTTTTTCACGCGAACATTTTGGACATTTCACATTACTGCTGAAGTTTATCACACAAACACTTTAAACGAATGTAGATTTTCACTTCCCACGTGACTACTGAAAGTTTTCCACGCCGGCGTCAAACTTAGGGCATTCAGACTTGGATAATTCACATGACTGCGGAAGTTTTTCTACGTGTACACTTGAGGCTTTCCCGTATTAACACTTGGGACATTATACGTGAGTCATGGAGGCTTTTCACGTGAACACTTGAAATATTTCACATGTCTACTGACGATCTTTCATATGCACATTGGATGTATATCTCATATCAATAATCTTTTAAATATAATGTTAGATGTATGTTTGTTCCCGTGAAACGGGGAAGGTCTGGGCCAACCAAATACCGGGTCGGGAATGCAGCTATATTTGAAGCAGTATGTTGCCACGCATATTCTCTCAACACGTACCGAGTGATACAGCAAGAGATAGATGATCTAGGAATGTGAATGAACACAAAAAAAAAACATCTAAGAAAGTTATGATTTGTTGAAGCCATCACTATGTATGACACGAGATTTATGTAACATCGATGCAGTTGTACTGCTTAATAATAGATTCGAGCCACCTGCTCTCCACCTGCCAATTGAAACGGGTGAATAGAAATGTACTGCGAGAGTGAATATTTAATTGTACACTTTGCTTAAATTTGTGCTAAGTGCATAACTAAGAAAACTGTACAGTCCAGTTTTTATTTTCGTTCACCCGAGAAGTGTGAATTTGACTTAATATCAAGCAGTGTCAGAAACGATGGTGGAGTGGTTATCGTGTTTGCCTCGCACCAGGGAGTTTCTGGGTTCGATACAGGTGATTGTCCGTCGTCGTCTGTCAATTGCATTATTTTACTTCTTGAAAACTACCAGTCGGATTGCCACCAGCTCAATTACTTTGATACATAGTGCTTAGGTACCTTGGGTAGATCTTTGTCAGATTTGTTCATTTCGTGAAGATATTTTCAATTCTCTATTATTGGAAAATATTTTTTTCGACTACCAGCTCAATTACTTTGATTCTTGATCTGCGGGTACTTGGGTGGACCTTTGTCAGATTTATTAATTTTGTGACGATAACTTCAGTTTTCTGTTTTTAGGGAAATAATCTTTTTCATTTTTGGTGAAAATACAGAACACCATCAACTTTGGTTTGAGGAAGACACTCTACAAAGGCAGAGGAACCAATTCGACCATTAGGTCGCTTGCATTTGGAAATATTTTCTAATTTTCAATTACCCATTGAAAAACGAAAAAAACAACAAACGACCGATCCCAATGTTTTAGTGGACGCGTACCGCCAGTATATATTTGGCAATCAGCCAATGATTGGAGAAACCCTCAAAGACTCATGGGTAATATGCACTACAAAATGGTTTCTATAGCCAATGAAAGCGTCAATTTTGGATTTAAAGGAAAAGTCAATTTATAACAACAGTGGATATGATGTCACACTTTACCCACAATCCTTTGCTGGAGAATCAAGATGGCGGACAACATAATACTGGTGAAAAGTTAGATATCTATAGAATGAAAAGTGATATATAAAAACTGTAAATTGCATTCTCCTACATTTGTGGAGCTCTTTCCTTAAAGAGCATTATGTTGTTTGGTTTGACTTCCCCTTTAAATTAAGCACTTACGGTGGTAAATGTTTTTCATATAAAACATTCATACTTTCATGAAATCCATTGAAAAAATCTATGCTTAATCTAACAGGAGCTGCGAGTGCCATTGTACCACTATTTTTAGCCGAAATTTCACCGAAAAATTTACGAGGTGCCGTCGGTGTGTGCCATCAGTTGTTGATAACCCTTGGTATATTGATTGCCCAGGTAGGTCCAAAGTTTCTATGATGTATTGCATGGGGGCGCTCGTTGACAAAACGTTATGTGTGAATCGTCTTCGAATCAGTTGCACAATATGATCCAATCAAATACTGTCCGTCTGGGGGCGACATTTGTTTTTGACCCTTTGAGAGCGATAGTAATTTATGCGGATCTATGTTTTTGTTTCACTTTAGTACAAATATCTAATTGTTATGATGGGTTATGTATCAAATTCAGCATTATTTTGAATTCTGCGTTTGTTTCATAGTATAATAATATAGCTCCTTTAGTTTAGTTTACAATGTTCTACATACTTAGTTAGTATCCAAGTATATGAGTTTTACTCTTGTACGTTAAATCCACTGTATTGTAGGTGTGTGGTTTTTACTGGCTCAACGAAGATGATAACTGGCAAATATTGCTTGCGTTAACTGGTGTATTTTCTTTGGCTCAATTAATCTTCCTGCCATTTTGTCCTGAGAGTCCTAGATGGCTGCTTATAATCGATAGAGAGCGTAAGGCGGCTGAGAAGGGTAAGTAAGGCAGTGTAGCGTGGCGTAATGTAACGTGGCGTGGCGTAACGTAGGCAGTGTAGCGTGGCGTAATGTAATGTGGCGTGGCGTAACGTAGGCAGTGTAGCGTGGCGTAGGCAGTGTGTCGTAGGCAGTGTAGCGTGGACAGTGTAGCGTGGCATAGCGTAATCAGCGTAGAGTGGCGTGGCGTAGCGTAGGCAGTGTAGCGTGGCCTGGCGTAGCGTAGGCAGTGTAGCATAGGAGCGTGGCGTGGCGTAACGTAGGCAGCGTAGAGTGGCGTGGCGTAGCGTAGCGTAGGCAGTGTAGCATACGAGCGTGGCGTGGCGTACCATATGCAGCGTAGAGTGGTGTGGCGTAGGCAGTGTAGCGTGGCGTAGGCAGTGAGTGTGTCGTAGGCAGTGTAGCGTGGACAGTGTAGCGTGGCATAGCGTAATCAGCGTAGCGTGGCCTGGCGTAGCGTGGCAGTGTAGCATAGGAGCGTGGCGTGGCGTACCATAGGCAGCGTAGAGTGGCGTGGCGTAGCGTAGGCAGTGTAGCGTGGCGTAGGCAGTGTGTCGTAGGCAGTGTAGCGTGGACAGTGTAGCGTGGCATAGCGTAATCAGCGTAGCGTGGCCTGGCGTAGCATAGGCAGTGTAGCATAGAAGCGTGGCGTGGCGTACCATAGGCAGCGTAGAGTGGCGTGGCGTAGCGTAGACAGTGTAGCGTGGCGTAGGCAGTGTGTCGTAGGCAGTGTATCGTGAACAGTGTAGCGTGGCATAGCGTAATAAGCGTAGCGTGGCCTGGCGTAGCGTAGGCAGTGTAGCATAGAAGCGTGGCGTGGCGTACCATAGGCAGCGTAGAGTGGCGTGGCGTAGCGTAGGCAGTGTAGCGTGGCGTGGCGTAACGTAAGTAGCGTGGCCTGGCGTTGCGTAGACAGTTTAGCGTGGCGTAGCAATTATATTGCCCGGGGGGGCTACTTCCACATTAAGTGGGTAAGGGTGTGAAGCCCACCTCTCGAAAACCATACTCACTTCTAAACAATTTTTTTTTCTATTTATATACCCACTTCTAAACACAAGTGTTTTCAGCGAAAAAAAAAAAAACCCCAGCTCACAACTTTCGCAATCAGTGAGCGCATCAGGGCAATGCATTTTATTCAGCCTTTTCCAGTATTTAGCTTTGAATATAAGGATCTGTGAAAAAGTAAATAATGCTACACATTTCTAAACCAAACCATTGATAAACGGCTACCCACTTCTAAACAAAATAACATGAAATGACACCCCAGTCGGGCGGCACATACCCGTATTGCCCTTCTATGCAAGTAGCCCCCCCCCCGGGTTATATTGTAGCATGGTGTGCTGTACATACAATAGTCCGGTAATAACTATACAATACTAGATAATCTGATTGGCCAAACATGATTGAGCAATTTATCAAGTTCGTATCAACCCCCATTATTTTCCGCTCCATATCTCATCTTTGCTATGTTATGTTATTGTAATCACCAACATTGAATAATACACCAGTAAACTCATTAATATATGCAGATGACATGGCTCTCATATCCATTACATCAGATGGACTTCAACAAGCTTTGAATGAACTTGAACAATATTGCTCAAATTAGCAACTTAAAATAAACATATCTAAAACTGAAATTGTTATTTTCAATAAATCACCACTGCAAAAAAGATACTTTTTTACTATTGGCAACCAATGCATTAAATGTAATAAACAGTATATTTATTTAAGAATTATTTTCAGTTCAAATGGTAATTTCAATGAGGCAACAGCCAATATAGCAGAGAAAGCTGGAAAAGCACTTTTTGTTATGAACAAAATACTATGAGATAATAAAAATATTAAACTTTCTTTACATTTATTTAACGTTTTTATAAAACCCATCCTTCTATATGGATCAGAGGTATGGGAATAAAGTTTCATCAACAACAAATGGGAAAAATAACGATAGAAAAAATTCATTTGAAGTTTTGTAAGCAAATCTTGCAGATTAACAGGACCTCATGTAATCTAGCAGCAAGAGCAGAATTGGGGCAATATCCTCTTTTAATCTTTTAATTGACATCAAAAAACAAATTATAAAATATTGGCTGCATATCGTAGAATTACTAGATGATGATCTAACTAAACAGGCATTCTATTAACAGAAAAAGTCATCTATATCAAATAGTTGGTTCATTAATCTTAAAATCATATTACAGGAAGCGTCATTAGAATTTCTTTTGAAAAGAAAAATCCTCAAAACACAAACAGCAACAATTTGTAAAGTTTTACAATCAAATTTACGAAGCAAGTATGTGAACAAGCGGAGAACTGCTATATCAAATGAAAATTCTAAACTTAGAACATATTCAAAATTTAAAACAAAGCACAATTTGGAGCCTTATTTACTTAATAATTTGAATGGTGAAAATAGAAAAATGTTCACTAAATTCAGGGTTAGCGACCATAGTTCAGCTATTGAAAAAGGCAGACATTCTATCCCAAAAGTACCAATAAATAACAGACTTTGTCAATTTTGTAATAATTGCATTGAAAATGAGATCCATTTCCTTTTAGATTGTCAAAAATATGAACAGCAGAGATCTCAACTGTTACATAAAATTAAAGTTCCGGCTGACAATAACATTTCTCGTTTCACATATTTACTTTCACATCAAGATAAATTAGTTCAACAAGAAGTATCAAACTTTATTTTAGCTGCGATCAAAATTAGAGATTAGATTTCTTTAATAATTTATTTGTGTATTTATTTGTATACATATTTATTTATTTGTGAATTTTAAGTACATTCCTTCCAGTTAGTTTCAAAATATTGTCTTGTTAACAAAAATTCTTTATTGTTGCAAACACCCTATGTAACCTATTCCTTTTTACACGGAAACAATAAAGTTCATTCATTCATTCATTCATTCATTCATTCGTTCATTCATGCATTGTAGCTCTTCAAAGGTATCTTGACGAGAAAGACGTCTCGTGGGCTATTGACGAAATGATCGAAGAATACATTGAAGAATGTAAAGAACCCAAAGTTGGGTTTAGCGGACTATTTACCAACAAGAACTACCGTGAACCATTGATCATCAGCGGATTCGTCCACTTCTTTCAGCAGTTCTCGGGAATCAATGCGGTAATACTCATTTTACTTAGTTGGTGACATAATAAAAATACCACGAAATAATCTATTTCTAACGAAATATGCTGAACCATTCATATTATTCTTTTACGTAGATATTTTTTTATGCCAGCGAAATCTATTACATGATTTGGCCCAATGATCCCGAAGCGGTAGACCTTGCTACAGTCGGTACAGGAACTATCAACGTACTCACCACAATCGTTGCCGTAAGTATAATAGCCATATAATCAGTTTTTCTGTCTGTGTTTGTCACAGAGTCAGACAGAGTACTATGTCAGAACTTACCCTCGTTCATATCCAGTTCATGTCCTAGCTACTCGCCGTGTTTTTTTTTCCACAGACTACTCTGACCATTTCAGAACTTATCTTATGTTCATATCATGTTCGTGTCCTACTCAACGTGTCTGTCACAGAGCACCTCTAGCAACTAGTTCATTGCATGATCAATCTGAATGTATTATTGTGATTTTTTCATTACCTCGGTAGGTGTTTGTTGTAGAAAAAGCGGGAAGGCGGGCGTTATTACTATATCCCTATATGACAATGGTTTTCTTCATGGCGTGTGTAACGTTTACGCTGAGTCTTGCGGTAGGTAGTCAACTGGTTACTCCCCTATGTAAAAGACTTGAATTTCTTGCTTTTAATGGGATCTCGTTGACCATTTGCGTCAAAGTTCTTCTGACGTCAGTTAAGCCACTATTTTGGTACA